AACGGCCAGATGTTCTTGGGTTTGTCCAGAGCTCAGAGGACCACCTGTATATATATATATATATATATATATATATATATATATATAGATATATATATATATATTTTAAATTTGCAGCGATCCGCTTCAAGTTGTGAGATATGCATGTAACCACTGCTGCCCGGTTTTGTTTTTCAGCATTTCTTTTTATTTTTGAGCCAGGTATTGCTACGGACTTTAATACATCAAATACTAGGCAATTAGGATATCCAGAAGCTTGTAGTCGCTATACTTGTGTCTCAAAGCTTTTTTTTGGCTGTATGTTCCCAGGACTTCTGCAAGGCTGCTTTCAGGCAGCTTTGAGCGATTCCTCGTTTAATGATCTTAGAACTGGCCGAATGAAACGTAATAAGTTTCTACTTAGACCAAGGTAAGTATGTCCAACATGTACAGTTATCTCCAAAGAGAAGATGAAGGCCCAGAAATGGCACCCTCTTGTTAGTTGGTAGTTCATCTGTGAATATGAATCCCCTAGGTTCTTTTACGAAAGGAGTGTGGATGCTGTTGAACGCTGTTGAGTGAGGTTGGTCTATCTGTTATCTTATTTTGAGGGTGATATTTGAGTCGTTCATTGATGCACAATTAAAGCAAAACGCATTTATTCTTTTTCTTGTTCTTTTTTTTTTTGCCTTTTTCAGCGATGCATCTTATCGATTCACTTAATTTATTTTTTTCATGATACAAGTAGTACACAATCAGCTGTGGGTAGCGTTCTGTCCTGTCCCTTTGTTCCTTCCTGTCCTAGTCTGCCTTATAATTTGCTAATGACGCCAATACAGCTTGCGTATGAGTTTGCGTTCTGTTGTACTAAAATATCTTGTGTGACGCGCTCCACAGCGTTCCGCTGAGAGCATGCGAGCGCCATGCGCAGTGCTGACGCAAGGGCCTTTACCTACTTTGAAGCTCCCCATTCTAAGAAACACAGGGCGTGACCTATGAGGATCATGCTTGTCTCTGCGTGACCCGAGTAGCACCCAATGTTGTGCGAACATTTCCTGGATGTTCTGAATGTTGAAGGAACATTAAAACACAATTCGGGATGTTTTAGGAACGTTCGTGTGCGAACATTCCCTACAATGTAAGCTGCTCAACATTCTAGGAACGTTCCCTGGCGAACATTCGTACGCACAATGTTCTCGGAATGTTCCCCTTCGAACATTCATATGCGCAACATTCTTGGAACGTTCGCTTGCAAACATTCTTATATTTTTCGCAGGTGAAGCCAACTTTACGGAGCTCTCACGCAACCTGTGGTCCAAACACCATCCACTATATGCTACGTTGTGCCAAAAATGTGCAAATTAAGTGGAGTTTCTGGAAACTTAGCAAAAGGGATCAGTTTTATCTTACGTGAGTCTACTGAGGAGTGTGAAATCAGGTGTAGGAGAAAAGTAATGGTTTTTAAAACTTGATAATGAACTTGGCATTCACTGCGTATGTAGAGGGGCAGTTTTGAATGGACCAGATTTTTAGTATCTGGGCTTGAAACTTTTAAAAATGTATTTCCCAGTTGAAATACCACCTGAGCGGAACAGATGTTTTAAGGAGGCAAATCGCGAAGCAACGCCGCAGGAAGAAATGACCGGCTCGGCCCTTGACCTTGGCTTGCCGAGAGGTTTGGCAACGGGATGGGGGATTGTGACTCCACCATTGGCAACGGGCGGTAGCTTACGCCACATAGCCTAGCCTACAGTTTACACATCTCGATGCAGGCAGGAGTGTATAATGCAAAAAAAAGCTAACAACACTCCTTAAATTGTCGAAAAATAATTTTTAATGTGATAGCATTATTAAGTTACCCACAAATATGTGTGCTCTTTGGTATCTGGCCGTTTTCCGTATAAAGTAATATCTCGATCGAGAAAATCGCGACATCCTTGGATCACACTTGATCACATCAAAATGATTAGAAAAAAGAGTATTGCTCAAAAAATTTATTTTCTCGAGACACCCAGAGAATTCAGCATCCTTCAAAAGAGATCGAAATAAATTAAACTCTATACTAAACCACGCAAAAGCACAGTATCATGCAAACCTCTTCAGATATAAGTCGTAAAATTCTCCTGCTGTGATATGGAAATTTATAAATGAGGTTCTCCAGCGTGGCCCCCGTAGCGATAAAATGGGGGAGCTACTGATCAATGACCAAATGCTATCCGGTGTCCCACTGGCAGAATGCTTCAATTCCTACTTGGTAAATCTTGTTTCAAGCACATATAAGGAAGATGCTGTTAAATATATCACACAGAGCCCAAGCTCGTTCCTTTCTCTCAGTCCAACAAATGAATTTGAGGTGTACAAAATATTCATGCCACTCAAAAATGGTAACAGTCATGACACTAGCGATTTTCGAATGAAACCTGTCAAGCTTGTCATTGATGGGAATACACCGTACCTCGCACATATATTTAACCTCACCTTGGTTTGCGGTGAGTTCCCCGCAAACATGAAACTTGTAAAAGTTACTGTGATTCACAAAGGAGGTGATGTGAACCTAATGACCAACTATAGACCAATATCCATCCTGCCAATTTTTTTCTAAAGGACTAGAAACGCTTGTCAAAGCTCGCGTAAAAAGGTTTCTTTATCGACATAAGAAAAAATAACTGACGCCCAATTGGGTTTTAGTAAAGGAAGGTCGACACAGTCAGCGCTCTTGCTCCAGAAAGAAATAATTCTAAATAACATTCAAAACAAGCTTTTAACACTAGGTATTTGTATTGATTTTAGTAAGGCGTTTCACTGCCTCAATCATGAAATACTTCTTGATAAATTAGAGTGTTATGGAATACGTGGTCCAGCACTCTCACTCTTGGATTCCTATCTCTCCAATCGCCAGCAGTGTGGCAGCATCGACGGGCGATCTTCTTCTTTCAAAGCCGCAACCTGCGGCGTGCCTCAGGGTAGCATACTGGGCCAACGACGTGGTAAAGGTTAGTACTCTTGCGCAGTTTGCAATATATGCCGCCGAATTCTGCCTTTTTGTGTCGGGCGTAGACGCAGAAAGCTTAATTATTATGGGAAACGATATTCCCACGCAATTTGGCAGATGGTCTGAGGTAAATTGCCTTAACATTAATATAAACAAAACCAAGCCCCTCGTATTTCGGTCATTAATTACACACGTCTCCTTCACTACATCCCTTACCTTAAGTGGTACAATAATCGATATAGTTAAGCACCACAAAACGCTGAGCATAATTTTCTCTGAGCATATGTCATGGATCGCCATATTCATAATTTGGTCAGCAGGTTGTGCAGAGTCATTGGCGTTATTAGAAGATGCCGCTCAATGTTCCGTGTTTACATTAAACTCATAATTTATAACGCCCTTTTTCGGTCTCATATAAATTATTGTCACCTGGTGTGGCGCACAACAACAACTTTGAATTTAAACAGAATACTGTTACTTCAAAAAAAGATACTACGCATCATCGCGGATGTACACTACCTATATCAGACTAAACCGCTGTTCGAAAAATTCAAGATTATTGCTATTACAAATATGCGCGTGGATCGTCTTTTGTCCGCTTTCCTTTTCGGTACAAATGAATTCATAACATTTCTTTGGCGCACCTCGGACTTGAATAAAAAGGAAATCTCGATCAGTATACGCTGCTCTCAGATATGGTATGTTCCTCATTTCCGAACGAATCAAGCTTTACAATCCCTTCGCCGTATGGTACCTTCCCTACTCAACAAGTACCATCTAGAAGACATAGATATATGCTCTGTGACTAGAGCTGAATTGTATCAGTGTTTTATCTAACGCAGATGTCTCTGTATGACATTTTTCTTTTTCTCGCTTTTGCATAATATGCTTGGTGCCGAACGTTCCTGCGCTCTCACATGTTTATTCTGTTCATTGTTACCTAAGTACATGCCTAGTTGGTAAGAAAAAGTCTGTATGATGTATAACGAGTCTTTTCAATGTATAACACTTTTCAGCCAGATTGCTATGCTTGTTTTGCTTTAGGGCCCCAGACCCCGTCAAGTTACCATATGGTAGCTTTTTGTCTGGAGGCCCGCCAGAGTAAATTTCTGGAAATGAAGATTTCATTTCCTTTCATTTCATTTCAAATAATTTCCCTATAAATTTGGAGGAAAAAAGTTTTGCTAAATTTAGCGGAAAAATTGACGTCACGTGACTTACGCACCAATTCAGTTTGCCCGCTAAGTTTAGTGGAAACATCTGTGTCACGTGACCTATGCATCGATTCCGTTTCGCCGCTAAATTTAGCGGAAAAATTTACGTCGCCTGACCTATGCACTCATTCAGTTTTCCCGCTAAATTTAGCAAAAAATTTGACGTCATTAGGGAGTTTTCGTAGATCATTTTCGCCGTTCCACAACGTTCTCTGCAGCCCGCTGCGATACCCGGAACTGTACAGCCAAGGCCATCGGCGCGCAGGTGCAGTAGCGGCTTCCTCGTTGCGGAGGGCTTAGCGGAGGGGGAAACGCGGTCTACGAAAACTCCCTATAACCTATAACCAATTCAGTTCTCCAGCTAAATTTAGCGGGGAAACAATGAGCGTTAGTTCTTTGTCACCCAGACCGAACACCTGCTGTGTGTGCGACGATAAATTCTACCGCATTCACAGATAATAGCCCCTGTCGTGTAGTGGCCACCTGTGGTTTCTACATTTGTCATTATTATTTTCATTATGTTTACGTTTTCCGGACGCTCCCACTTACGCGCATTCACACGTATTTGTTTATATGCGCGCGTATGTGTTTACACCCTTTTTCAGACCACAATCTAAACGAAAGCCTATGTATGATCCAGGATAAATCCTATGATGGGCTTCATTGGGATCACAATAGATACGTTGTCCCAAGGACGTCCTCAGGACGTCCCATGTAGATCTATAACGTTTGGACAATTTGAGGCCATCCTGAGGATGTTTTATGTTTTCTGGGTAGGTATAAGAGCGTTGTTTAGAACGTCATTCAAACGCCGATTATTTCTTCCGGAGCCGCAGGCAGGAACCCCTGTACGGCAAGGGTCGTACCTGGAGCTGGCTGGCCGACGTCAGGTGCCTCTTGCTGCCGGGGGCCCTGAGGGAGCGCCGCGCCTCAGCCGTGGCCTTGGGCTCGGGCTGCGGGTGGTCGTGCACCCCCTTGGCCTGGAAGAAGACCGCCGTGTCCGTGTGTCGCCAGAAGTGGGTCACCGGGTAGCCGCAGTGGCCGCGGCATGCCAGCACCTCCAGCCGGCCCGGGCAGCGACGGTTCGGGCACGGCTTGCCTGCAACGCCGCGGTTGAACGCGCACTGTCAAAGGAACGTCGGTTCGCGCTCTGGTTTGCGCGATATTATTTTTTGGGCCAGATTCACCTAGTGCTACAAACAGGATAAAACCCAGTAATACCAACCCCCAAAAAAATCTGCAAAAGTCACCCCAAAAAACAGTAAAAACCGTTAGAATTAAGCCGTAAGTTCAGAATAGCATTGTTTCACTGTGTACTGCTGTAATCAATTTAAAGACGGTATATTATATAATATAATCCTTAGAACGGGAGCTTGCCTGTCTGTCTCGGAGTGCTTCGATGCATATAACTATGTGCATTCCTGGATATTGCTCCTACAAGGAATACCTGACGATGTGCATCTTCATAGTTTGATCCTTCGTGCACTATTTGGCGGCAGTTCAAAGCTTCAGTACACAGATTCACAAAGTTTGCACGAGGTTCTCTTTTTCAACTGATGTATCTGATTCGTCTGACGTCGCTTGGAACTTCCAGCAAAACGTCTCAAAACTTAGGAGCCCAAAGTCCCCACTTTTTTTTTTCACTCGGCTTATGCCATCCCTCAGAGTTCGAAAACGAACTGATGGGTTGACGTCAAAACAAGTTTAAAGCATGTTTCAATGTTTACCACTGTCATAGTTTAATGGCGTCGCAAGCGTAATAATTGTCACTGGTAACAATTTTCTTGAGAGAAAGCAAAAACATATCGACCCTTTGATCTAACTTCCCAGAGGAATTAATTTATTTATCATTGATAAATGGAAACTAGAGAAAACTTTAGACATTAAAAAAAAAACAAAAAAAAAAACCGCTAACATGACTGGAATGTTGCTAAAACTCCCGCCAAACGCAAAATGTCAATTACAGCCGCTAGACAAATAAGAGTACTGCTATGTTTATTGGGAAAATGAATAAAGTGGCAACACTGATGAGAACGGCGGGGCGTCTCTTTGGAATGGCGGCCTCCAACAGGCGCTCGTTGCCCCCTGCCGTGCTGGGGCACCGCTTGTACGCTCCAAGCTCACGGGACGCCGAAGCCTTGTCGGAGCTAGCGAGGGCACGTTGGAGGCGAGACAACCGAAAGGAACCCCCTATCGTTCTCATCTCGCCAGTGACTACTAACAACGTGGGCGATTAATAGCGTCCCACCGGTCTGCCTCTCATGATTGACCCAACGTCCGTTCTGAATTACATTTATTTTGAATGACTAAAATGTTGGCAACGTCTGACTTAACTTTGGTGAGTTTAAGATGGCACTTTCTCCGAGCTTCCTTTGTGATTTCTACACACACCATCGAGCTTGGTATTTGCCACTCATCATAGTAGCCAGGATGGAACCTCCTGACTGTGCAGCGATGCAAATCCTTGCAGTAGCGTCACGGAGAGGAATTATGAAAGGGTGCCACCGGAGGATCTCGGGGCTAATAGTTAAACTGACGCTACAAGCACGAGGATGTTCCCCTGAATGATACTGGCGGTCCACAAGTAAAGGCCCCTCCATACTTTTGCGACCGAGTAAGACCGAGTTAGACCAGATCGGCTTTTAAGCCTCTTGCGATCTCCTAGGACCAGCTCCGCTACATCGCATCCGGTCCTAAGAAGTCGCAAGAGGCTTAAAAACCGGTGTGGTCTCTCTCGGTCTTATTCGGTCGCAAGAGTGTGAACGGCGCTTAAGCGTGCACGGCAGGAACGCCGAAATCCCGTCTTGTAGCTTTTGCCTCGCTCGCGCTTAAAATGAAGCGGAGGTCTCACCCTTCTGTGTTTTCCCTTGGGGTCTTACATTTCTCGCTCTCTCTCTCTATGGAAAATGTATGTTAACGTCTATCTTTTGTTACGCAGCAAACTCAGCGGTGCTACCTAATGGATACCCTAGAGACTTTTAGTCTGCGTGTGTTATTAAATTTGCGTCCATACTCTCCTTCGCCATAGGAGTAAAGTAGTTATGGCTCAACATAAGCGAGAATTTCTTATATAGCACACATATATTGCAAACCCTACAGTTATATTTCTGGACCGGAAGTGTTTAAAGGCTATTTTCATACAAACCTTACTGCGCTTTAACTCTTACGCGAAAAAGCGGTTCGCTCTTTCTTCGGTCGTGGACGTCCGGTCCGGAACTAGACGTCAAATTTTGCAATGTCTACGAGATGGAGTCTCTGCGGTATCTGGAAAAGGAATTGCTTGTAACACTGTCAAAATGGTTTCACGCCACTGTTAAAGAAATTATTCGCAAGAAAATAAACAAAATATACATGCCAGTAATGTGCTAGGGACATCTGATATATGGTGCCGCTGGGTTAATACAGAAAACGCAGGTACATGCGCTGACCGCTGCTCGCCTTATCAGTGTTAAATATTTCAGCATAAAAGAACGATGTCTAATGGAACTAAATAGCACCGCCATAGCATCTTATTTATTTTCCTTTTGCCATTAAGTAATTTATTTGTTTAATGATTTACATATTTGGCAGTACTACAGGCCCCTCTAGGGCCAAGGCGGGTGTGGGTATACAAAAGAGAAGAGACGGTTAGAAGTGCGGTGTCTTCCGTAGAAAATCATTTAAATTAACAAATAAAGGAAATTGATTCAAACACGCATGTTTTTAAATAGGCGTACATTACGCTTTTAAAAAAAGTCATCTGGCAATGAACTGTAAACAATATCTCTTCGCAGGCAATTCCATCCGTTTATTCTATAAAATCAATTATTAACAAGACAAGGTTGCTGCGCTATAGTTCGAGGAGTCTACCGTGATAAAGTCGCGTAGTCCACCGTGAAACAAATTTGAGATAGCAAAAACCTGCATCTCCAAAGGTCCATGAGAGAGTAAATATTATAACTTGAATTCGAGTTGTTTCCCGCGTGTTTGTAGTGAGTCCTATTCAAGATAATTTAACATGTAAGTAGAGCTGTCTAGTTGGCGGTACGTGTTAGAAATAAAAAATGCTGCAAGCGGATTTAATTCGCCAGCTCCGCCGACTTCTTGTATGTATGGGTTCAAAAAGTACAGAGGCCTGCTTTCCCCTGAGACGCCAAGGAGTCCTCAGTGCGTAGGAGTGCAAATAGGCATTGTATGCGTCCTAACTCAGGCTTCTCCTTATTAGTGAATGTCACGCCAAAATATTCTACAGACGTTGATTGCCATGGCTAGGACCCACAATGGAGTGCAATATGTTTTTATTTCTCAGTTTTGTTACAGTCGCGTGTTACCGCCGGTGACTGTCGGCGGAAAGTCGTACTTCGCATAGCTGCTTGTGCCCTTTTCCAAGTCCTCGATATAGCGCCGAGTCAAAAAGATGTCAACCGCACCTTGGATAAAAACATTTTTTTTCTTTTAGAGGGGCGGTGCAACGATTTTCAGGCTTTGGCCAGTTAACTGCGAAAATTAATCCGTGTCACCTATAAAACGAAGAACACAAAACCGTTTTTCTTTTTCTTTTTTTGTGCAAGCGCTAGATTTTATTAAAAAAAACAAAAAAAAACAAAAAAAACAACAACAAGAAAATCGAAGGTTAAAGTGCCTCTCAACTCTCCGCGTCAACTTTCGAGTGACGTACTCTGGGGGATGACGTGGTTTCCCCTTGGGTTCTCTCTTCAGAGACCGCTGCCGCATCTCCGCGATTATCGAGGTCGCGTCTAGCGCTCGGCACAAAACACGGTTCACCACGGGGGTGTTGGCGAGTGTGGCAGCGGAGGGGGGCAGGTTTTGTTCACTTCCGAGTATCCCCCAGTCACGCTGTCATTTTAGTTCCCGTAGCCGCCACGCGCGGCTGCAGATCGCCAAATAATTCGTTTTTCGCTTTGCGATTAAGCAGCGGAATAGCAGTTCTTCGGGGGAAGGTGGCGCGTTTTTGGTCACTTGGGCTTGAATAAACAAAAAGAAAATGCAAACTGCAAATTCTTTTAACATTATAAGTGTTGCACTACCCCTTTAAGTTACACACAAACTGCCTGCCTGTGAAAACTTTGCTTGACCAAAGAAATATTTTTGTCCCATGGGGTATTGACTGTTTTTTTGTGTAAAAGGCCGGAAACAATTGAACACGTATTCTTATACTGCTGGGACGCTTTACTATCCTCAGGCGTTCTCCAGCGGACTAATAAAACAGATTTTCCGTTAACGCAAAATGGTATAAGGTTCCTTCCCGAGCAGAAAATTAACTAAAGTCCGACATAATCTTGTCAGGCACCTTTGCCCCCATGCAATATGGCGGAGCAGAATGGCTGTTAGGCAGGCCAATGTGGACGTGCATCCAGTAAGATTGTAGTTTATAAATCTGTCTGCAAACTAAAATCGGTCTATTCGTTTGTAGAGCCTGACTGGATGCCAACTCCAGGTGTACTGGAGAACTTCAAATAGTTTTAGTCCATGCACACGTTCTATCCATCGTGTATGTTATTTTATCATTGCGTGTGAATGTTTGTTTTTTGGCAAAGCAAGCAAGAAAAAAAAAAGCCTCCATGCGGCGCTGAGCAAAGACTTCGATCTTTGTATCGGTTGATTCGGGGTTCGATTCCAGCTGAGCCCCTGGGTTAATCGCGGTGGTAGCGATTAGTTGTGACTAGGTGTGTCAATTATTACGACTAAGTATGTATTCAATGTGCTTTCACTGCTTATGCATTGCCTGCATGCTACGAGCCATCCACGCTTTATGTCGCGCTGACTTGCGCTTGGCGCTTTTTTGCCAGACTCACGCGTGACACGTTTCGCTGCCCCAATTCGACGTCGGCATGATCACTGATAGAGAATTTATTGCACAACATTATTGATGACGAAGTGCACGTGGTGGCAGGGTGGCGATTCCTTTCTACAAGTGCTAAAAATTTACTGAAATGCTTAAAGTTCCTGGACTCGAATCTGTGCGGTTCATAATGAGGATGCATGTTTTCTGGACATCGTATATCCGCCTCTAGGTGGGCCTCTCGGCTACTTTTCTAGAGAATTGCTCTAAAAAAGTGACTGGGAACTTTAGGGGAACCGTTCGGAATCGTGGGTCCCCCGTGATTTCTGAACCCTGGGATTCTTGGAGGCGCCATACCCTGCTGCTTCTTGCGCGCCTTGTCGCAGATGGCCGGCCGGAGGTGAACCCTGAGGCCAGCGTCGGAAGCGCAGCGCAGGGAGCACACCAGGACGCCCAGGCAGGACTTCTTGAGGATGTGTACGTTGTGGTTGTTGGTGTTGCGCATGGCCCAGCCGGACGAGTGGCGCCGGGCCTCCTCGCAATCCGGCCGGTACACGTAGCGGCAGTGCCCGTCCGCCCACTCCTGGTAGTCGTCGAACGAGCTCACCTGCGACAGGCGGAACACAGCCGGGAAGCCGACAATAAACGCCTGGCCTGTCTGCAAGCAGGAAACAGCGAGCAAAAGCGCTCAAGCCGACGGCATTCTCTCTAGCAACCCGTTTTACGTGTTACCTTTCACGTGATTATTGTGTTAATCGTTAAATAACATTGCTCTTCAGCGGAAGACACGTGTGAGCAAAAACCGAGCGGCGCCGCGTCACTGAGCGGCGTAACCATGGCAGCCGTCGCCGGCGTCGGTGCCAGGCGGTGGAATGGTATTGCCATAGAGTAATATACACAAGGTAAAGAGCGGACACTGCCATAGGCCCCAGCGGCCCAGATAGACCAGTGACAGGTAGCGCTCCTAGCGGGCGGTATTAAGCATAATCTGATTCCGTTTCCGGTCAAGTTAGTTTCGGTTTCGGTTTGGGCGTTTCTGCTCCGGTTCTTCGGTACCCCTCTCTCTTTCCTCCCCGCCTCGCTCGGCTCTCGGGACTCCCGAATCCGCTGTTTTTTTTTTTTTTTTAATACTGACGCACTTTTGCTTTATTTTTTACGATAGAGTCCGTGCAAAATGTGTCAAACAATAGTTAAACTTACTTCACAAAGCAAAAGTATATATGTTTCTTGTTCTTTTTCTATTGTAAAGCATTGAAGTTACACAATCGCCGCATCGACTCCTGACTGGTGGAGCATTTTGGGGTCAACAACAGTAAGTGGTTCGAACACATTTTATTGGACCACATTCATGTATACATAATTTACTTCAGAAGCTCTGTATGTTTTATATGAAAGAGATCGATACTCACAAAAATAAATGAATATGAAGGACGTCAGCATATTGTACACTTCGTAATAAATTCTTAGCGGAACCAAGTTAACAAACCCTTTCCACGGAGAACATGCTGTATGATACATTCACTTTCACGCCGACTCGGGTACGAGAAGTAAGTGCAAAAATAAATAAGACATCGCTATAATTACCAGTCGAAGCACACGCCGGATAGTACAAATTTTCCGATTTCCGGCAAATATAAAAAAACACCAATTTGCATAGCCTCAAACTCACTGCGGGCGAGCCATTACCAAACAATGAGAACTCCATTCGAAATCTGACAAGATTCAACGAGCCTAAACATTCCCCGAAATTGTTCAGAAAAGAAATATGGCTTCAGAAAAAAGCGGCTAAAAAACTATGGACAGTGGATACAAAAGTGGATACATTTTCTTTCAAATATTTTTAGCCTCTATACACAATTTTCTGTCGAAATTTTGTAGAAAGTGGACAAATATTTTTGTTAGGGAGCCGTGATACACATTCGATGGAAAAAAGGGGAAACAAATGTTTGGAGAGCAAGCTGCACCGCCCACTTAATAAGCACTTTTTGTTTTTGGTTTGGCAACCGCCATTGTTAATACACTATTAACAGTTAAACCTGTCTCGTTGCTTACTAGCCACTGAAGAGTGCAACCGAACTTTGTCCAAATTCCGGTTAAGAAATCAAACATGTCAACAGAAGCGTATTCTGCAAAACAATTTTAAAAGCGTTTTGTGGTACTCCTCTGGGCAAAGGCTAAAACCACCCAGACCTCAAAGTGTGCTATACAAGGCGGCACACACTCCCCGAAAATGTGTCACACTCTCTATTATGGGAAGAAAGTGATTTTCCAGTTGCTGAATGAAATGAAAGGCAGCCTGTGGTGGTACTAATAAGTTCCCGAAGAATTTTCCAGGCACGTGGTATGCTTTAGGAACAAGACAGTATTGGTGAGGCCTGGTCAAGTTATTAGACTCATCCGATAGCAGCTGAGAACAGCCATAGCTGTAAGTTGTCTGTTCAAGCAAAAGCTTGATCAAATAGCCCCAAACGTAATAAAAAAGTGGACGAGTCATCAATTATGTTACACCTGATGTCTGATGCCAGCTCAGAAATATCCTCTAGTGGCGGGAAGTTATCAATTGAAAGACATTCCACAATGTCTGACATTAAACTTTCATGGTGCGAAGGTATTTGCAACTCCTTTAGGAGGTCAGCCTTGTTATCCTCTACGTTTTCATTGTCCGACAGTTTGAACAGTTTTTTTTATCGTGAGGTGTTTTAGTCCTGAGGTGAACTGACGCACATTTGGGTTTGTGTTGCAGCCCAGCATTTGTCGTACATAGCTCCAAAAACGTTCTCAATGTGTCTTGCTGCAGGCGTCATGTAAGTAAGTCATGGCTGCTTGAAAGCAGTAGTGTAAGTTATGGCTGCTTGAAAGCTCATCCCAGAGCACGAGGACACTTTTTATAGTAACTTGCCACCCAATGATGGGTTATGGCTGCCTCCTACTTTGGAACTGCCATGCTGAAACCCATCCGAGTTACTGGTGGAGAAAATCAAGTATTTCAGATTATCCCTTCAAAATGGCATGATGCAACTTCTGCCCTGTCTTGAATTTTTTAGCTATTTAGAGAATCAAAAAGTATGCACATCCTATCACAGAACTAGGCTGTAGCCGTGGCTGCCTCAGGAAGCACCTTGGCATAAACAAGGGATATGATTGCAAGAAAGAGTGAGGCACTCAGTACCTGTGGGGCACAATTTTCTTCCATGTTACAGAAAGGTTCTTGGAAAAAGGTGTCTCTCAGTAAGTTTCGGAGCCAATTGCAAGCTCATCTCATGAATAGAACAATAAAGTTCAACAATAGAAGACCACTCAATGACCTCATTTCCAATGCAAAGTTTGTGGGCTTGGAGATTGCTCTTGGTTTTTTTTTTGGGAAGGTGCGGAACATCAAAGACAAAGTAAACGTGTTCGTTGTCAACTTCAAAAAATGGCTTATCACCACACACACCAAGCTTACGTTTGAAGCTCCCTAACCACAGACCACAGCCTTTACTGTGAAGCCAACAGTCTTAAGCTCCCGAATGAGAGAAATGAGGAGACTGCGTTAAACAGAAGACGTTGTTGGAGTGTGCACAATAGTGTATGCAAGGGGCTAAACGCACCTCCTGGAAATTTCAGACAGCATAACAACCAAGGCTCTATCTGCAATGTTAGAGGTTCGTTCAACACCGTCATCTGTAAACCCATGGACAATGTCGTGTGCAGGGTCGTTAGTTAAATTCTTTTTTTTTTAAAACAATCTCATCGAAAATCAACATGCACACACGTTCAAGTGCAGCCAGACAGCCCGGCAGAAACAAGAGCGCGAGAAGCTCGAACCGATCGCCTCCACGAATTCACGCCAAGTATGCGAGCACGCGGGCGGTCATGCGTCACCTTGATTGATGCAAAGTCGACCGAACATGATGCAGCAGAAAGCACAGATGGACGGCACGCACGGCACAGACGAACGACGCAGGGACGAGCAGAGGCCATGCAGAATGATGCGGAGGCGACGGCGTGCAGGCAGGCAGGCCATGGCAGGCGCCATTCATCACGTGGTTTTGTGACGTATTTGATTTAAACTATTTAGTCGTTTTAAGTACTTTAAATAATTTTAAAGCATTGCCATTTAAAAAATAAACACTTTACACAGAAAGAGTTTTAATTAATTTTAACCAAATTGCAGAAAAGCGCCACGTAGCGGAGGGTATTAAACGCACTATCTGGGCCGCGAATCGGCTCCTGTGTCCTCTCTTTACATTTACTATATTACTCTATGGTATTGCGGAACTTGGATCAAACCGAGCTAGATATTTTCGCTCCGCGAGACGACGGGATGAGAGACGAAGAGCATGTCGCGCGCTTATTTACAGGCCGAGTGGGGTGTTTCCCTTGGCAAAAAAGTGATACGTCTGAAATCTGCCTAAATGTTCTCCGAGCGCATTTCGCATATATGTTACATTTATAGATGCAAGGAAATTATGCCAAACGTGTATTGAGCGAATTTTTACTCACATTCTAATAAAAAGGGTGTAGCCCTTACACCCCTTGTCACATATACGACACCCCAAAACTTCCGCTCTCTATGCACAAATAGTCTATAGCTTTTCTATTTACATTGGCTACGGAGAGTCAATTGTACAGTCAGCGCGAAATGAAACCCGAGCGCCGGAACACGTGGCCGTTGATACAGGCTGCTCCACCTGGAAGGCCCCTGAGAACTAATGAAAATGCGCCGGGGCGCGAGGGTGCGGGCGGCGCGTCTGGGAGTTCCGCGTTTCGCCGGTGGCGCGCTGTAAGCGCCGTCACGTCCGATACAAAAAGCACTGTCACTCGCTTTGTGTATCGGATTCCCGGCGATATCTCCTCAGCGCTGTCATTCATTATCGCTTTGTGTATCGCAAGGGCGAAATGAAAGTTGAAACATTTCGTTGACAGTAGACGCGTAGTGCTTGATGACGTGTCACCGGCACCACGCTGGGGCTCCGGTGAACGACCTGCCACGCGCGGTTTCTGAGAAATTGTGAATCGTCATAAACGCGAAATAAAATTCGTTTATTCGCATGACCATACTCTTTATGAAAAAAAAAAAAAATGCTGCAACAGACCGACGCGGATGCCTCGGTTTTTATGAGCAATGCGCATGTTTTCGTACGAGGTTATCAGTCGAATCTTAAAAAGCGAGATATTGCTTGCTGACGCTCTCTTGTGTAACCGCTGGTATGCCAAGCGCATCAGTTCCGGAGCGGAATAAATTCATCACCCTGTCTGAGCAGGGCCTATCGCAAAGAGCTATAGCCAGGTTAAGCGGCCGCCCGGTGTCGACCGGGAGACAGTGCGGCGACAGAAAAGCACCCCGAGTGACGGCGCTTACAGCACGTCACCGGCGAAACGTGGAAGTCCCAGACGCCCGGTGCAAGGGTTGACGACATCTTAGTTGGACCCGCAACCTCGCACCCAGGTGCATTTTCATTAGTTCTCAGGGTCCCTCCAGGTGGAGCAGCCTGTATCGATGGCCACGCGTTTCGGCGTTCGGGTTTCATTCCGTGCTGACTGTACATTTTCAGCACGTAGTCAACAGAACGCCTGCAGTCTTTCTGATGATACTGTCAACAGGAAGTCGGCAGAAATTAAATC